AGAAGTAGTTTACATTAATTTGCTTTATTATCTTCAGAATTGTTGTTTTTTAAGTTTTAAAGACTGTATAATCATAAGCTTAATTGTGAGGCTTCCACGTCTAGCAAAACTTTGGATTCAAAAATACTCTATCTGGTACCCTGTAATGGCCAAATGTTTGTCGACTTCTTTGCAGACGGTTTTGCGTACTCATAACCCCTTATCTATGGATTGATAGCTCTCTGCTAAATAGGCCCTACCATGTGAGCATAAATCTTAAGAGCATCATGATAAAGGAAGAAAACAAATTTTCTCAAAATGAAGATGTCTATCGATCTTAATACGTTGCCCCAATTTATCACTTTTTTAACAATTAGCCAAATTCAGTTAAAATTTAACGTCGAGACAATATGGGATCTTAGGTGTCAAACTGTATGCCTTGCCCTGTTTAAGTCTTTTCAATAAGGTCAAACTCTACCCAGTCCAGCTATTCCCTATATAGAAAAACAGAAAAAAGCCTATTCCCTGAATAAATAATATGTGGTAAATATACTGAAGGCAAGCCCTTTGAGATATAACAATATTTTATTTCAAAAATATATTGAGAGAAGACCTCTATATTCATATATAAATTAATCATATTAATTAATAAAGCTGTGGAAGACCAACTCAAAAAATATTTCTTAAATATCTATATTGTTGAAGCAACATAAATCCTTTCGGTCAGCTTAATTGTTAAGTATAGCTTTCTCAGAACTAGTGGTGAAAACCTAGAAAACAAGTATTATCACATGTCTTACTGATCCTGTCCAAGGAGGGCAGATGTCAATGATTTGGGGCTGTTCAATTCACTCATTTCAGCATCTGAGGGATGCGTTTTGACGTCAGCAGACTGACATATTGTCGTTTCACATGGTTCAACTTCCATCAAGCCGGGGTCTGCATCTGTGCCAACTTCAGCCACCAATTGTTCTGTAGAAGCAGCGTAGGCTTCTGAACAAGCGGTAATAGCAGCCACAGTGGCAGAGGACTGTAAACCAGCAGGAGAGCCGGAAAAGGGTTGTCGGGAGCGCAAGATAAATACACGCAATGCGGCTGAATTAGAGTCCTGTCGAGCAAGGATGGCATCAAGAAGGCGGCCTACAGTCTGTGGCCCATCCGCGATAGGAACAAAGTCAGGATGGTCTAATTCCAGGCTACAATCAGGGGAGCTAGTTACTTTAAACGGGCGTCGAGTCAGAATAGAAGAGACGAAGTAAAAAGAAATATGGACACAAAATAGCTTCTGAATAAGATGGCTCTATACAATACCAGCGCATATGCTTAAAGAAGTGTAGATATAAGGTAGCAAATAGATTATGGCGATTAGCGTAACTTTGAGACATGATAGCATTAGGCAGGAAAAATCTATATTTTGGTTTTAAATAGGATTTTGAGATTCTCAATAGGTCAAAAATGAGAACTTTAGTCACCTTGAATGGCTCGGGGTGATGAAATCTCCCATAATGAGAATAGTAAGCCTCAATATACAATTAAATTTCACTTAACCTTGCTTCACAAAAGGTATTTTCATACAGAGTAAACAGCAGTTTAGACCTCTAATGGGTATCATCAGGAAGCTTTGT